GGGGCATCCCCACCCCGCCCCGCCCCGCCAACCCCATCGGGGCGGTTTTTTTCGCCCCATTCGGGGCGGGGCACCGTCGGGGCAGGGCGGGGCGGTTTTTTTTGCCATCCCTATTCACCAATTTACAATTTACAGATGAAATCCACGAAAAGTGGTTCCCTAATTGAAATTTTTTGTAAATATAAGTGCGAACATTAAACTTTCACTTTTTAGTGCTATTTGTATCAATTTTTGTAGATTCTTTATTTACCAATTATACATCTTAGACATTGGCTTTTGGAGTTTTAGTGATCTTTTTCTGTGTTGCGGCTCCTCAAAATGAATTTGAAATTTTATGAGTCTTCATTTTATATGATTTTTCAAACAACTATGCATGGTTTGGATGGTCAATGATCATGCAACATCCCAACTTTCTATATTAGATAATGTAATTTTCAGACATAAGAAGACTTTAGGAAAGGCGTGTGTGAACGAAGCATTTTTCATTTGAATTTATGCAAATATCTTTTATGATTAATATTATTTTCGGTTAGAATTCGAGAGATTTGTGGCTTACATTTACACATAAATGCATGTAATGATCATGCAAAGTTCATGGTATTTTAGAATAAGGAAGAAACGTGTCACAACCCTTCATGGTTATTGAGGGGTGCTAAGAGGGATTATTGGCATCCCCTTTTTGTATGCATACGATGTTATGAGATTTTTCGACGACTCGAGAAATGGGATGATCTCAACTTGTGTTGCATATTGATAGTCATTCCTTCAAGATGGGGGTTGTGACAGTGACGAGATGATACAAGAAGAATATGTATGCACAATTAAGAAGATGGCAAGATCTGTACTTGACTATCGATATTTCACTTCATTAAATACGAAGAAGAGGAGTTTAAAGTCCAAAGGCAATTTATTTGTTGAACTTTTCTTTATAGATTATTAACGAACACTTAAATTTTTTTCTTCATAAATATAGATACATTTCGTCCGTAAACAATTATAAATATAGATACGTTATTTTATTTGAAAACAACCAATTCAAGAAAAACAAAACATGGGATTTTGTTCGACGTTTGATGTTGGGATTTTGTATTTTAGTTTTATTTCGAAGCTTCTGATTCTTGACTATCAATGAAAAATCTACTTATAATCTTGTTTGTACATACGGTGAAGGAAAGGAGAGGAAAAGTAAAAAGAAAGGGAAGTAAAAGACAAAACAAAAAGCACTTGTTATATAGCCCAAAAAAGACACAATTTCCTTTCCATTGCCCGTTTCATCACCGCACACACTATTTTATACTGAAGTGAAATATATATTTTTATATATCTCTGACTGGGATTTTTAATTTTACTTCCGTTTTCTTTTTTTTTTTATCGTGTTTTCTCGCCGTTGATTTTTTCGCTCTAAACTCCGATTCTTTTCTCAGCTCTGATATTAAGAGTTTAGACTTTTTGTATTTGACCTAGTCTTGATCCAATTGAAATGTATATAGATATATACAGGTATATATAGAGAGATTAGAAAATAGCGTTTTTGAGTTGACGCTGAGAAGCTGCTGCTGCGATGGGGCAGTGTTATGGTAAGACGATTCCCACCGGAGACAATGATGGGTATGCGACGACCACCATTACAGCCACTGCTGACGGTGGTGGCGATCGGCCATCGGAGACGCCGGCACGTAACGGCACTCCATCGGCGAAGAATACTCCGGCCAGATCGTCNGAACTTTGGGTATAATAAAAATTTTGGGGCCAAGTATGAGCTCGGGAAAGAGGTGGGCCGAGGCCATTTTGGTCACACCTGCTATGCCAAGGGCCGAAAGGGAGAGCTCAAGGACCTGCCTCTTGCCGTCAAAATCATCTCCAAATCTAAGGTCTTTCCGTGCTACACTTTGTAATGGAAATTTTATTTCTCAGATAAGATATGTGTCTGTTTTATCCTAGTACATACATACTAGGATTGTGTGTGGTGGACATGTAAGGCGAGCAGCAGTTGCTAAATTCGGGTATAGTAAAAGAAAGGTGGAATAAATTTCTATTTAGGATTGAAATGTAGTGTCCAGAAGGTGGTTTAGTTAGCAACGTTGCAAGGAAAGGTGCTTTCTTTAGATATCTTTGTTAACTTGTATTTCCAGTAGTATTGGAGTTTACTCTATTAGTCGAGTGCTATATTTACACAAGGGTTTGATGGTATCAACTCCGTATTTGATTCACCTCTGCTTAGTATAAACTTAGTGCAAGTTAGGGTTTCCTTAAGCATACACAATGTTTGCTGTAGCCATTTGAGTCTTGTTCTGTTTATTTATGCTCAAATAAGTGTTGTCTTCGGTAGATAAAATCTGAGGACTATTGTTATGATGTTTTTGGTTGGTTCGGTGAAGATTGTTAGACACGGGATAGATGACAAAGGTTTAGAATAAACATCAATTATACAGGAGTTGTAGTGTCCTAGACAAGCAGAATGGAGAGAAAAAATTTGTGTACTTTAACATAAAAAATCAGGTCAGTTTTTGTGAGTCAATTATCTTGATTTTATGAAGCATTGTTTTGAATTGCTATTCAGAAGCTATTAGTTTGGATCACGTACAGCACAATTATAATGAGGGGCCTTTAATAATAGTAAGAGTAAACAGGTAGAATGGCTCATTTATATTCTGCTACTAACATTACTAACCCAAACCAGCAAATGAAGTGGCCTAATATACTTTGTGGTATAGACAACTATTTTGAGATCGTTATCCTTCTTCCAAGATCATCATTTTTTTAACTATGTCTTGAGCAAAGCGAAAGCTTACGGATTGTCTGTACTGACAGCAACTGGGTTCTTTATGCCATAAGGGAGGTGGTTTTGTAACTCGGAGTACATCAACAAACATAGATGGTCAAATTTTTTGTTTGGTAGGATTGTGAATTGAAAATAATAGTGGACAAACATGTCAAAAAAGGTTGGGTGTGTTTTTCAATGTGCAAGTGAAGTCTGTCTTTCCTTAATCCTTTTTTCTGAACACGTCTTTCTTTTAATCCTTATTTGAATGCTTTTATTGTGTTGAAAGTGATGACCTATACATAAGTCTTAAAGTATGAACAAAGCAAATTTCACCCACACGTGCTATTTGGAAAAAATGCAATTATTTCTTATCTTGGAGACATTTCCACGACTTAACATACTGACCATCGCACTTTTACTCAACAAATCAATCCTGATTTGGTTCCCCCTCTCAACAAGCTAATCCCTCAGGAATCCCACAAGAAATATATGTCTCCTTCAATGACCTAGGACAATATGAAATACATCCTATTTCTAGATCTCGTCTGGCATTCGAAACATTTTCAGTCTTACTTTGTTGTTACTGATTTTTGTGTTTCTTTTAATTTGTAGTTATCCATGAATTCGTCGTGATGGGTTACTGGGCTAAAATGTTCCTTTCATATCAAAACTATCGATAGATGTTATCTACAATCAAACAGGAGTTTTAGTTAGTTGCCTACCAGCTTCTTGGTGAATAAACAAATTTATGGTTCAAAGTTAAGCTAAATGGTTCTGTTATTCACGAGAATGCTTATAGCAGGATCTCTTCTCTTAACGCCCAGTTAGCATTGGCCTTTGTGGCATATGCCTGGGAAACTGGGAATACGACTTTTCTTCCTATGTCCATCTTCTTACTGTACTATTCATTTTCAAAGCACACAGGTTATCATATTTTATTGTTTAACGAGCTCTGGTACATTGGTTTTGAGTTCTGAGATGCATTGACCATTTAAATTCGCTTGCTTGCCTTGGAATTGCTGCTGTGTTAGAGTCATTATGATCTGTTTTGTTTATGATATGGCTCTGGAAGAAAAATATAGTGGATTTGATGCCAGATCCTGATCTCCCTTATCTTGGTTGGAGTGAAACATGGAAAATGTTATGTAACCTGCTACCTGGATTAAAACTCCCCAATCCAACTGCTTATTGTCTTCTGTAGACTTTGTGGCTTGTTTTTATCTCTCTTTTGTTATAGCTGGACTTGGCATCACAATACTTTTTGCTAAGTAAAACTGGAAGTCTAGACTTTGTTTTAGATAATTGAATTCTTACTTAATTATGGGCTGTATATCCAAAAACTCATGGTAAAACAACGATGACTCCTTTGCTTTCCTTTATTGATCATATTTGTCATTAAATGTTCATCTCTGTGAGATAGCCGGTTTCTACTTTCTAAGCTAGACAAGAGAGTTCTGGAATTTCTTAAAATCTTCACTATTTAGTTGAATCTGAATGTAACTGGCACAAGACAAAGTGAGATTGATTGAGAATTGAATTTTACACTTGATGAAGATTGAGTTCTAATCAAAATGACAATAGTGTAAAGAGAGCTATCTATTCCGAGCTGTTTCTGGTGGGTAAAACCGTGCCAAGTAAGTAAACCTAGCAAATAAAATTTAGCATTGGAGATCTAAATCTCTTCTTGTAGAACTTGATTCTAGTTTGTACCTAACACCATTTTCTTAATGTATAAATGGCCCATTGCAAGTGTACACAAGCTGGAATGGTAATGAAAAAAAAAAAAAAACCACCATAAAAATCCATATATCTCTCCGGGCCAATGTAAATCTTCAATTTAACCTCTTATTATCGAGAATACAAATTTGAGAAACCTAAATTAGAGAACCGATTTCGAGTTTGGACAACTATGTTGTATTTTATGCACTCCTTAATTTTCTGCAGTCTGATAGTTCTTTTCCTTTATTTGAAGATATATTTATCCAAACAGACTTTCTTTGACAGATGACAACTGCAATATCTATTGAAGATGTCCGCAGAGAAGTGAAAATTTTGAAAGCACTTTCAGGCCATAAGCATCTGGTTAGATTTTATGATGCTTGTGAGGATGTCAACAACGTGTATATAGTAATGGAGTATGTATTTCCTTGTCTTCTAAAGTTACAGTTGTTTATGCACACAATTTGTGAAATTGATCTGTCTTTGTTATTGTCACTCAGATTTCCTTTGAAATCAATGTAGCGAAAGTTTGAAAAAAATAATTATAAACAAACAAAGACTCGTTGTCTCGAAGTAATATTGAGAATTTGATAGGAAAATAGAGAAAACTCTTAAAGATAAATTTATTCAATTTAACGTGTCAAATAATGAAACCTTGCCTGTCTTTATCTCAAAACCCTCCTTAGACAGTTTAATTATAAAAGAACCCACAAAATAAAGGAAGTTATAAAAAATGGCAAAATTCCTGAGAAAACAGAAAATTGCAATTTGACCCTGAATGATTTATTTGGCCAAAATCCCACGAACTCGAAGTCTTCACTTTGAGTTTTGCTGAAAAGCCCATTTCTGATTTACAAAATGGTATTATTTACCCAAATCCAGCAACTGGTCAACGTCGATACCGGGTTTGTCAAAGTCTTCCTTGGGCTTTAGGGTGGTCTCAATGGTTAATAAATTCCTACTTGTTATACATTGCATCAGAAAACTTGTTCTCAGTTGGAAATTTGTTATTTTTTGGTTTCTGTCTTACTTAGATATCATGTTGTGATTCCCTTTTAAAAGAATTGCCGTCCTTTGGCCACCGTCACTAAATAGATGTCACACAATAAGTGTATGTCACTGGTTGACTTTTACTTTTCTCTGTTCACCTGAAGAGCTTTCATTTGTACCTGTTATTCTTTGTGTATCTTAGCTGTATCATGTAAATAATCTAGACCAATTATTAGCTACGTTTTCTTTATTATAGGTTGTGTGATGGCGGAGAGCTACTGGACAGAATATTGTCGAAGTGAGTGAAATTGAATTAGGCCTCAGGGCCTCAATATATGGGTAACAAAAAAATACCTTTTTCTTCTAATTATATGCCATTTTTAATGGATGCTTTTTGTACGTCTTATTTTAATTACTGCAGAGGTGGTCGATATACAGAAGAGGAAGCAAAACTTATCGTTGTTCAAATTCTAAGTGTCGTTTCATTTTGTCACCTCCAAGGTGTTGTGCACCGTGACTTAAAACCTGAGGTATTTGAGAGCTTCTATCACCCAATAATTCATTGATTGCATTTGTCAAAATGATCATTGTTATGCTAAACTTCTCGTTGATGTTGATTGAATTGCTTGCATTGCAGAATTTTCTTTTTACCTCTAGAAGTGAAGACGCTGCTATGAAGCTTATTGATTTTGGTCTTTCTGACTTCATCAGGCCGGGTAAGCATCGCACGAGCTTTAAAGTTTTTTTTTTGGGTTCTTTTTTGTTTGTTTGTTTGTTTTTTTTTCTTAGTTTATCAGACTGAGTCAATTTGACTTCTATATATGCCTTGTCAATTCACCTTACTTTGACTTCTCTTTGCAATCAAATTCAATAGAAATGCCCGGTGCCACACTTCGTTGAATTGTATAGGCCTCTAGAGCATCATATTGTTGGTTGGTTTATGCGTTTTGTTACTTTTGTGCTACCGTGTAGTTGTTATAGCCAGCTTTAATTTATTTCCAAGTTCAATAGAGCAGTTGAGATGTTGCCATGCTTCAAGGACTGAATGTAATGCCCCAAAACTTATGTCCCGAAGGTTATTCAATTAATTCCTTTAGTCATTATAAAAGTTGATTGACGCGCTGTAATAAAAAAAAATTGTAGAATAAAATAAACTATTTTGTTGTCTCATAATAGATCCAATAAATTCAATCTACTAATGAAATATAAATTCATCGATTTTGAAAATAAAATTCTGATTGCAAAATAATTTTAAACTAAATGCTAAATATTGAAAGAAAATAAAATTTTTGATCCAGCGACACGGACTCTGTTAGTAGTTTCAACCTCTAACTCCGATCAATCAAGCATATGAAAAATATTTTAGTTTATATCCATCTCACACACACACACACGTGGCTGTCGTCATATCAAACCCTTAACCGACAAAATTAATTACCACTGAAAAATAGTATCTTACGATGTCAGTAACTTGGGCTTAACATATCCGAATTAATTTTTTTCTCTAGTCCATGATTTGTCGTTTAATACGAACTACCCAACTAGCCCAATATATATATAAATCTCAAAACTTGCATTTATGCCTCATAATATATTGTACATCTTTTTTTTTTTGGGTATTACACTGAAGTACAGATGAAAATAAATTATTACAATAGGTTTGTTTGTCAGGTTACTTTTTACCTGACATGGGTAATGTGTTGGAAAGCATCTCTAGTTTAATGACCTTAATCATTCATGGGTTATTTTCTGATGCAGTAAACCAAGTGCTTTTAGAAACTAAGCCTAGTTAGGGGAAAGTAAATAATATGCTGGCAGTTTAAATTTTCACTCTCCAACCTGTCTTTTTGTAGAGCATGACCATCTAACCAATTTTTTTCATGCTATTCCAGTAATTAGCTTATTATATCAGTGTTATTTTCTATTGTCCTGTCGCAAGAATTTTCTAATATTGGCATTTGATTTATGCTGCTAGTTTTTCACCTATTTTAATCTCAAAATGGACAATATAGACTTCGTTAGAACGGTGCTTCTCCTGTTGTTCTGATATGCCTAGAAAATTGTAGTATAAGAAAAGCTATTATCATCTTGGTATATCATTCCTTTATAGCCAACATGAGTCTTTTATGGCTGTCATTGTTGTGATGTACGTATGCCAAGAATTGAGAAAAACATCTTTTATGCACTCCAAAATCTTTGTTTCTGCAGATGGAAGACTAAATGATATTGTTGGAAGTGCTTATTATGTGGCACCAGAGGTTCTCCATAGATCTTATAGTTCGGAGGCTGATATTTGGAGCATTGGCGTTATCTGCTATATTTTACTATGTGGAAGCAGACCTTTCTGGGCAAGGACAGAATCTGGAATATTTCGTTCAGTATTAAGAGCTGATCCGAACTTTGAGGACATGCCTTGGCCTTCCATCTCGCCACAAGCCAAGGACTTTGTAAAAAGGCTTTTAAACAAGGATTACAGAAAAAGAATGACTGCTGCTCAAGCTTTGAGTAAGTAGTCTGCTTCTTAACTGCTGAATGAAATTTCTTGAAATTGCTAAATTTCACTTGCTTATGTCATTTTGTGGATCTTTTAACTGATGTGGGCTGTGGAGGATGCTAGTGTTAACATATTTTATGGGAAGTTGTTGCTTGAGGTCATTTATTCAGTTAAATGTTTATTTTGGGGGAGCTCTAAATATTTCTTGAAAATACAGTAATCACCGAGGAGCACAGCACAACAATGTCAGAACTGTCATCTATATCTCATTGTTGATACACAATGCAAAACCTGTTTATAATTCGGTTATCAATATATCTACTGATGCAAACCTTTTGAAATGCAGCGCATCCATGGTTGCGAAGTGAGAGCCATCCTATTCCTTTAGATATGTTAGTCTACAAGCTGGTTAAGTTGTATGTACAAGCTACACCTTTCAAACGTGCAGCGCTGAAGGTATTATTTTATCTGACTGGTATAAATCACTGATTGCTTTTGCAGGACAAGAATATTTGAATCGGAATTCTTTTTCTCAGTTTACTATTTCAAAGAGTTAAATGCTTGTTTGGCCATCTATATTTTGCTTTATTGTTTGTGTTTGCTCAATGCTTGTTAGTTACAAGTTACATCTTACTTCTGTGGTCGCTGATGTTGGATGGAAGGCTTCACATTGGTCAACTTACGTCTCTTGTAATCTATGGGTGTGCTCGTAAAATGTGATATTGGGGATTGGCTGAATTGTGTGAGTCACCATACTGCTTATCAGTTTTTCATTAGGGCCAATCCTCAAATAATCAAAATATATGACCAGGGAGATTGAAAACTTATTAAGGGTGTGTTTGTCTCCCATTATTGGGAGAAAAATAGAGTAATGAATAATATTTTTTGGAGAATGTGTGGTTGAAAAATAAAGTACCTTTATTGGTTTGTGTGTAGAATATTTTATTGGGTGAATGTGTGGTGGAGAATCTTACTGTAACAAACAATTTTTTGGAATAATGGTAGACAAACAGGGGCTAAGCTAAGCCCCCATTTGGTCCCCATTATCCCAAAAAATTATTTTTCTCTTATTTTTAACCACACAATTTTTCATAAAATAATATTACACGTAAACCAAAAACTTGTTCTTCTTTTTCAACCACAATTCTCCAAAAAAAATACTATTCCAAAAATTATAATTCGAAATAATGTGGCCAAACGGGTTCTAAAGCTTTCACATACTTTGTTGATCAACATTTCTTTACATTCATATAATTTGAAGCTTTGTTTTACTTTGAATATATTTTTAGTCCTTCATGAAAAACCTATATATCTTCCGCGCATAATAGTGGTATGAACTAGTATTTCACTTAAAATTTTATAGTACCTTGCATACTTGATGATTATATATTGAACTCCTGATATGAGCGTGTTTGGCTAAGCCTAAAAGGGAATTAAAGTTAATTTTTATTTCTTTTATCCCGCAACATGTTTGGATAACTTGTTTCATACTTGAACTTAAAAAGTGACTTTTTTAAAAAAATAAAAATAAATAACTCTTACTTTATTATCAAAATAAATTAGTTCTTTCTAAATGTCACCTATAAAAAAATATTTATTATCCAACTTAGTTTTTACTTATTCAGTAAATCTACCTAAAAGTGAACTTTTTAGATTAGCCAAACATGCTAATACTCTATAACATTGGGACACGTCTTTATATTCTGTAGTATGGTGAAAGATTGTGTGACTGATGCAAAGTTTGATCTGATTATTTTTCATGAGAAGTTTGGCAGTTTTATCAGCAAACATGTAGAATAGACATGAAATAAAGTAAAATAATAATGTTACTTCATAAACACTTGCTTAGTTGAATAAATATGAACAGACTAGAAATTTTCGAGAGAGATATTTGAAATCTCTCTTTTATAATTGACACTGTAAAAGAGTTTCTACGAATATTGATTATCATGGCTTTGGAAAATTTTAATTTTGGGATGTGGAATTAAGTCCTAGAATTTTAGCAAGTTACCAATAGAATATGCATTGATCCTTGAATGGAGCATCACAGTTTCATTTGATGATACATCGCTCTATAGTTTTGGGAGGTCTGATGTTTGTACTTGGCGTGGTAATTAATCAAATTCATGTCCTTCAGAATGATATATTTGTGTATGCCAATCTGTTTCTCTTTTATGATAGTCTTCAATCTTGTTGCTTTTTACATGCTGATATCTCAATATGGTATTTCTACGTGCTCCAATAATTGGTTCTCATATCATTTCCCCCTATTAAATATAGGGGTTCTATTTTTCAAATAATTGAAAGGGGGAAAAAATAGCTCACCTTTTAGTAGCACGTTCTTTTGCACTATCAGAAGGAATGTGTAATTTATTGCTTATGAGCTTCTATTAAATTGCCAAAATTAACTTGTTCACCTTGAATTTGTTTCTACTATGCTTGCAGGCCCTTTCGAAAGCTTTGACTGAGGATGAATTTGTTTATCTTAAAGCTCAATTCATGCTTCTGGAGCCCAAGGATGGGCTGGTCTCTCTAGACAACTTTAAAATGGTTTTTACCCTTATTACTTTTCTCTCTCTGATAGCTATCTATCTGACTCTGCATATGTACACATGTCCATACATTACTTTCCTCTTGCTTATGCATCCATGTGAGATCGTCGTATTTTTATCTTTAGTGTGTCCTTGTAGACATGACCGGTAATTTGGTGAAAGTAATCGAAGCAATTAATCCTGTTTAGAAATTTAAGAGCACTTTGATTCCTTCAAAGACTACATTGATCCCCACGAGTATACTTGTAAGAATTTTTTTATAAGATCTTCACTGGTCCTAGTTTTGCTTTATCTGCTTCTTACAACAGAGCTTCTTTAACAAACTTTTGGCTATAAGAGAGAGAGGGAGGGAGGGAGGGAGGGAGAGAGAGAGAGAGAGAGAGAGTGTGTGTGTGTGTGTGTTTTATTGTTTTCTGGTTTTGGGTCATGAAATTAAATTGATGCTGAAAGGAGGATGCTACTTGAATTGCAGGCTCTTGCACGAAATGCCACTGATGCTATGAAGGTGTCTAGGGTACCTGATATTATACACGTGGTCAGCTTCTTTTATTTGTCTTTCTTTTTGAGCTAGATTATAAGTTGTGTGATCATAAATATGTTAAATGAATTGTCAAATATTTTATTTGTCCAGTACATTCTGATTTTTCTCTGGAAAAATGTCCTATTTCTTCAAATAGTATATTCTTAATACGGGATCCTAGCCACTACTTTTGAAGATAAAAATGTAAAGTTACACATCAAATACTCACCTTTTCAACTGTCTTTGAAAGCTTCATACCAAATGAATTGGACAAATGTAATTGTGGACCAAGTTGTTATGATTTTTTTCTCGTTTTAATCACAGTAACTTGACCCTTTTGATGGTGTTGTTTTCACTTTTCAGATGGCACCGTTGTCTTATAGGAAGATGGACTTTGAAGAGTTCTGTGCAGCCGCAACCAGTACGTATCAATTGGAGGCCCTTGACAAATGGGAGCAAATTGCATCGACGGCATTTGAGCATTTTGAACAAGAGGGTAACCGAGTAATATCAGTAGAAGAATTGGCTCGGGTATCTAAATTTATAGCTTTATGAATTTATATCTCCCGATATTCTTTCTATTTTTTTATTTTTTATTTTTACTTCTTTTATGTTGTATATATGCAGGAGTTGAATGTGGGCCCAACCGCTCATTCTGTGCTCAAAGATTGGATAAGGAGTGACAGAAAACTCAGTTTACTTGGATATACAAAATTTTTACACGGTTTGACACTTCGTAGCTCAAATACAAGACATCAGTAGCTTTTATTTTCTTCTCCTCCTCCTTCTTATCTTCAAATTATTATTTGATCAACAATGGCATTCGTGGATTGAAAAGACGGTGGGAAGTTTTTTCATTTAGGAGTTAACTAGAATGATGTTTAGGCCGTTTGAAGTCAAGAATTTCTTCGTGCTCGTTCCATTTATATGTGCAGTCTCCGGAACTGTACGGGTATTTATCCATAAAAAATGTGTTCTCAAGTTTTCAATATGAAAAATCGAGGCTGTAAACCTGTGTCAATAGTTCACACCGTAGAATTTTGTCTATTGTTATTAATATTAATGCTGGGATTTCAGTACTTGTCAAGCTGTCATGATTGTGTATATGTTACAAAGATCAGCATATCTGCTGGTAATGCTGCATTATTTTTTAATCTTCAGGCTTATTTTTATCTTTTACTAGTCTTTGTAAGTTCTTGCAGCTTATTGAGTTCCTTTCTTCCCCTATTATTATCTTGTTTAATTTATCAATTCTTGTGTTTGATATAAATCTGCACTAATTACTGCAATGTTTAGTGTTGAATTAGTAGTAATTCTTTTGCTTAGATTTGATGATTTAGGACGTTTATGACATGTTTGGAACGATAAACTGCCCGGACAGCGTTTAAATATTTTACATGTTTCTATTTTTTAAATCTATTTTAGTTCTGTTTTACCATTGAACATCTCTTATAGGATTTTTGTGAAAGTGGAACCGAAAAGGGGAAAAATGGTCAGAAAAGTTAAAATTTTGTTTATTATACTGTCGAGTTTGATTTAAATAGCAATTTTTATGTTTGTAATATTTGTGACATCCAAAGCAGTGGATATTTGTTTGTGGCACTGTCACATCAAAAATTTGTAGCCTTACATTTAAGGAAAATAATACCTAAACGTCTCTATCCATTGCAATAAATCAATTATTTAAAATTTTTAGAACGATTTATTGGTTAAACAGTTGTCTCCAAGCTGGCTAATTTTCAAAGCCACCATTGAAAGAGAGATCTTTTTGTGCACCTCAATAATTGAATCAAATATATTCTAATAAAGAAATTTATTTTTTTAAAAGAGATATTTGTTTATTATTTGAACGTATCAAAAGAATTAAAAAGGTAAAAGTGAAGAAATGAACCACAATTTCTTTTACTAATCCCCTTTTTTCTGACAAAAACAACAAACTTCTGTAACTTCAAGCAACAAAACTAATCGTCATCATCATTAATCAAAGATATTAATGGCATGTTTTCCTCACCAAACTTGCTTATTTCCACGACATCAAGTGATAAATCAAAAAGAAACTACTTTTGTAACTTCTTTTTGACTTTTAAGCTATGCCAAACATGCTTGTAGGAGAAATTCAAATCCTAAAACAGCTCACATGATGGTGGTGGCTATGGTGCTTCTCTCTATCAATCATGCCCTGAATATTCCGAAATTCTTCGACATGGCAAGGAATTGTAATTGTGCCCTTTTGATCAAATCCATATTCTTCTTCAGCTTCTTTTAACAATGGATTAAACAGTGGATTGTTGAAGTAAATAACTGGGATTACAAGTCTCTGTTGATTCTCTCCTTGCCCAACTTTTACAGCCAAACACCCTTTTGGCACATCTTTCACTTGCTGCTGCCTCTTTCCGTGATGGTGGTGGCGGAGGAACCGCGGAAGGCTCTTCTCGCCGCCACCCATTTTCGAGAGAGTATGTAAAATTTCAGAAACCCTTTTTTTATGTGCAAGAAGAGAGTTAAAGGAGGGTCTCAAATTCCAGGATAATACAAAAACATAAGAATCAGAATAAGAGAAACAAAATAAGTTCCCTCAAATTAAGGTTCCCACAGAGAGAGAGAGAGAGAGAGAGAGAGAGAGAGAGATTTTGTGTGTATTTTAAAATCTATATGTATATTTATATACAGTAGACTTAGAGTAGGGTATTGAATTAGTCAGAAAATAGTCAATTAGAAATGTAAAGGTACATTAGATTTTGTCAAGGGGAATTTTTCAAAAAGGCTTACAACTATGAAAATAAAATATGCCTACTCGGGGAATTCGAGACTTATTCTTTCTCATCCAACTTTTGATTCACTCGTAGGATCCGGACGGTTTGGGGGACCACAATGGCTCTCGAGCTAGTGGCTAATCTTTGAATAGGAAAAAGAACGTTTCATTATTAAAAAATGCCAAATTTCGTCCGAATCATCATTTTTCAGGACTCTTCTAAGACTTTGTCCTAACTATTCTTTTAGTCCCGTGCATGTTTTGAGTAACAGCAAGAAAATTAGGAACAACTTTGAGATAATCCCGAGTAAATCATTGCCTTGAGCTTGTTTGGCTAAGCTCTGCGATGATAATAGGGTAATTTCTCCATCAACTTCTTGCCTCTTAATTTTCGTTGGTCCATTATTTATGTTGTAATTACGTGAGCTTTGATTGCATAAATTCGAAATCAAACTCACATTAAGTAATATTTATAATCAAATTACCAAGTTACTATAGTTCAACTGCAAGAAGATTTTCTTTGAAAAATGGCAAAAAACCAATACATTCCTGTATACTTATACTGGGCAATGAAAAAGTAAAATTAAAAAAAAAAAAAACTTTGCTTTTGAGGAATGCTTGTTTGCTATGGACATCAGAGAAATTTACAGAAAATTTATTACAATAATCCCAAAAATATATTTGTCATTTTGTTTTTCATATAAAATAACTTTTCATATTTTCTGCTATTAATTAATTATAGTAACAGAATCTTTCATTTAAGCTGTCAATTCATAGTAAAAAAAATAAAAATCATTCATTTATTGGGAGGCGATTCTTTTTCCATAAATTACTCGATAATTGAAAAATCTCCATAGTGTGGGTTCACTTGCTTAGCTGTTTTTTTCTTCTTATTCGAAATTGTACATTGCACTTGCACATGTTCATTAGGGTGTTATAGGGAGTCTAAAGAAAATAGACTTTTTCTCTTGTTTATCTTTTCAATCATTCACATTCATTGAAAAATCACGTTACGAGCTCGGATTCAAATGCAATATGCTAAAAGACAAGACAAATCTAATCAACAACATTATTAACTGTCGTGCTAAATTTCTCGGCCCAAGCATTTCAGATCATAATTGCATATAAAAAAAACTCATGCAACATATTCGTGTCGCATGCTCGTTCATGATTTGTTTGGCATCCCAGAAAAATGTGTCGTGTACTTGATCATGTCTAATACCGCGTATCAAACTAATGACGACTTTTTTGGTAAGATCAAGTAGATAAAACGTGCCATGTAGTCGTTAGTCCTCCAATGTATCCATCCATCACAGATTCTGAGTTAATGAATTCTTGGAATCAAAACCCACCAAGGGTTTTATACTAGTACATTCTGGAGAAAATTTGTAGCAAAAATAACAATGTATGACGGAGTTTTGGCTCTAAATATTAGGGTTTCAGCCAAATACAGAGTGAAATTAAGACATACATGTTAGGAACAAAACTATGAAGTAAACAAACCCAGGAATAATCAATTAATGAAAACAGGTTTACAATTACTTGTGCATATTTCATTTCTTGGAAATCTTTCAAAAGAAGCAAATCCCCAATCTGCCTGAAAAAACCCTAGATGAGATGAGGTGAGGTGGGGTGAGGTGGGGTGGGGTGGGGGTTAAAGATTGAGAAAGAGGGATTTTAAAGCCAGATCTGAATATCCCACAACATGCCAGATCTGATACCAAAAAGCCATCATGAACAAAATCATTCAACATGATTAACCCTAAAAGGTGCTTCATCTGACACAAAAGAAAACCTAAATCAACCAGAAATTCAAGAATGTAATGATGAAACTTTTCTGAGTATCCCAGAAACAATTCTTAAAACCTCAGTCAAAATCCTTAATCATTACACCAATCTGCTGTCTACAACTTCCAAAAGAAAACCCTTACCCAGGTACTGCAAAAAAAAAAAAGGGTTAAAACTTGCAAAATCAACAAGAAATTATACAAAAAAATTGAATCAACACGTTTCTTTACCTTCAGATCGATAATCAAAGTCAAGTAGAAGCAGTAACTGGGGGGAATGAAGCCTGGTCCGACAACACTTGCAACAGATCTAATTTTTTTATGAATTGATCAAACAAAAGAGTTCTCGAGCCAGACAACATTCCCCTCAACAAAGCAGCTTCATTTTCTTGATTTTTCATCTAAAAAATCCTTCATCAATTACATATATGTGTGTAAGATCTTATCTCAGTTTTTGGCCTCTCGTCTCTTTATCCCCCAAAACTTTCGCCTTCTTTCAAGGGAAAGAGAAAGAGATAGAGAGAGAGAAAGAGAGAGATGAAGAGGGCGATTTGTTTGAGGGGGTTATAACAAGGAAGAAAATTGAATGCCAAACTAAAAAGACAAAAGCTCTCGGCAGACACTGACCCTACCAGCTGGAGTTCCAGAAATTTGTTTGAGGGGGTTATAACAAGGAAGAAAATTGAATGCCAAACTAAAAAGACAAAAGCTCTCGGCAGACACAGACCCTACCAGCTGGAGTTCCAGAGATGACCAAGACCTCATGCACTCTCTCTCTAGTGTACATGTACCTTGTATCTATATATTTATATATACATTAATACGTAGAAAAACCTACATACGATTTTTTTTCAAGTCTGAACATCGTGAGTATCGAACTCAAAGTTGATACTTGGTCTCCTCCATTTTCCGGTAACCACTATTATTGAGAAAGTGCGAACATAATCCTATATATA